GAGACAACCCTCCGACAATATGTCCGCAACACTATCAGTAACAGTAAGAGGTAACAGTTCAGTAACAGTAATAACAGTAACAGTAACAGTAATAACAGTAACAGTAACAGTAATAACAGTAACAGTAACAGTAGTAGTAGGAGCAGCACTCAGTAACAACAGCACAGTCACTAGTCACTAGTTACTAGTTAGTAATTTCTATTAACTATCAAAACTACCGACCTCATTAATCATTAATCACATCACTACCAAGAGAACTAATAATAATGATCACATTTGACTAACAACAAATGATGATTAATGATGAATGATTCATTATGATAATGCTGATAATGATGACCATTGACCAATACTTACCATTGCTTTTAGCTTTGGCTGCTGTTGGTACTGTTAAATTTAGATTTGGTTATGTAGTTGGCCAACCAGGCAGCTAACAGCTGCTAACAGTTACAGCTACAGTGACAGCTAACTGCTAACTGCTAACTGCCTTGTCACCTTTTGCCAGCAACCGCACCTCGGCAGCTGTCTCCCTGGAAACTTCATCAGTGCAACGGCGCAACTCACCTTCCCACAGCTCAAGGTACTTTGGTGCCTTTGTAGAAAACTGTGGGGTCTCAGCAAAATCGAGCGCATCCTTGAAGGGGAGCAAATGAGCCAGCAACTCGCTGATGGCATTCTCAGACTCAATTGGTATGCTTGCCTCAAACAGCTCCTGGAAGAGAGAGTCCACTTGACGCTCACACAATGCCAGGCCAAGCCCGAAAGGAAGCTCCACATCAAGCAATGCCAAACTTGTGAGGTGCTGCTCAAAAATGTGCGCACCCATCTTCCTGACGGGACCATCTCTCAACGCGGCTGCAGCCTCACAGGCATTCAAGCGCTGCTTCAAGAGCAAAGCAGCTCTGGCACCTTGGGCGTCCAAAGCCTTCAGTGGCCCACCTTTGGCCTGCAGGGATTTGGAAATGGCATCCGAAAGGCTTAAGGCTTAAGGCTTATGGCTCTTGGCTTGCCTTGCTTCTCAATTCAAAAGATTTTTGTGATAGTATTCAGTATATATTATATATATATTACTATACTGACTATACTGTTTTTTTGTTGGAGCCCGGGCATAGTTACTCCCAGTAGAGTCTAGAGTCTAGAGTCTAGAAGAGTCTAGAGTCTAGTAGTCTAGTCTAGAGTCTAGAGTCTAGTCTAGTCTAGTCACGTCTAATAGAATCTAGAATCTAGTCACTAGTCACTACTAGTCACTAGTCATGACCGTCAATGAAGACTGGAATGAGATTTGCAACCCCGCACCGCAGTGAGACTTCTCCCATTCATTGCACCAGCCATGATCTTCTCAGGGTAGAGTGAGTTGAAGCATTCAGGAATGTAGCCAAGCTGCTTGGCACACGTTTGCAGGTCCTCTGGAAGACTTTGCATCTCGTGCTCAGGCAAGCCGTGATTCTTGTTCTGAGTGCCCCTCCTGCCTGCCGAGCTTTCTGACAAAGCGTTGCCAGAGGCATTGGTCCGGGCATTGACCTTTCTCTTCGGTTTCTTCTCCTCTTCCCTCATGGAACCATGTCCGTAGCCCATGCACTCTTCATCATGTTGAACCCCTTCATCTTGAAGGCCTGCTGCCCGAAACGGGACGTGTCACTATAATAATATGCCCCTAGCCTAGCCCTGAGCATGGTGAGTACGGTGAGCAAACAATATTTGGAAGCAGTAACAACAGCAACAGCAGTAGAATCCACGAGCGCAGCTACAGCAGGTAGCTGCTAGCTGCTAGCTAGCTAGCTAGCTAGCTAGCAGCTGCTACGTAACTACTGACCTACCTACCGTTAGTCACCGTTAGTCACAGTCCTATTACTATTATTACTCACTCAGTTAGGTGACAGTCAATTAGTTAGTTTACTACTGCTGGAGTACTTGCCAGAAAGCCGACCTATTTGCTTGTACTGAGTGCTTCGCCTGAATTGCAGTATAGCAGTGGCAGTAATAGTCACTCTGTAATAGTCAATAGCAATAGCCGCAGTAGCAGCTAGTGACTGCTAGTGACCAGCAGCTAGTGACTAGTGACTAGTGACTAGTGAGTGCTATTGGGTAGTGACTAGTGACTAGTGATGACTAGTGATAGTGACTGCTAGTGAGTGACTAGTGACTAGTGACTAGTGACTAGTGACTAGTGAGTGAACCTTATTTACTGCTGCTCCCGTTAGACGTTAGCCCGTTAGCCTTCCATCTCTCGGTTCTTTTCTTGTTCTTCCCGTTCAGCAATTATGGACTGGGCTTTCTCTTTCAAGCTCTCATAGGAATGCATGGAATCTCGGCCAGTCGGTTTCAATGCAGGAGAACGCTTCCCCAACTCTGCCGCACACATCCACTCAAAGGCTGCTCGACCTTGCCCTGGAGCAAGCTGCGCTTGTGGTGCCAAGAACTGCTCAAGCAGGTTGGTTGAAGCCACCTTCCAAACTTTCACCTTGCGGCATGACATCAGAATCTTTTCTGGTAGTCCAAACAGCTTGATTGGATACCCGCTGATGAGGGTTCCATCCTCACTCGTGATCTGGAGTGCCGTCAAATTGAGGGCCTTGGGTGGTAGGTCGAAAGCCGTCTGGAATTCTGATTCTGTCAAGAATCCAAACTTGTACGACACTGTGTACCCTGAGTTGTGTTGCCTTGACACCTCAGAAAGCGGCTTGAAGTTCCGCTTCTCTGGCTCGAAATACACCTCCCTTGCACGATTCATTTTCGTCTGGTATTCTTTGTCAAGCTGAGTCTTGGATGCCATTCGGTTGACATGTATTGGCCACCCTTTGCCCGGGTTCACGTCGGAATCGATCTTCACTCAGTCGAGACATCCATTGTTGAACCAATTCTTGCAAGCATCATGGTTGGCAAACCTTGTCTCCTGCAAGGTGGCTGTCATTCAGGAGAACTGGAACTAAAGCTGCCTAGCTAGCAGCTAGTCAGTCCTAGTCACCTGCATCGACTTGTTATGGCTAAGTCTGCTAAGTAATATTATGTTAGCAGCAGCAGCTACAGTGACGGTGGAAAATGTTGTAGTTTTGTGCCCTTCTTCGTGTTGAGAAAGTGTTCTGGTGCTTTAGGTTTTGATCCCAATCCTCATTGGTACGCTTGCACCACGCGCACTTCTTTATCTCTTGTTTGCGCCTTTTTGTCTCAGGTTCGTCGGTGCCAAACTCCACCAAAGCCAGAATGTCCACCGAAGAGTTGTCCGGTTCCTGCAATAGACTTTTGTCAGCTCCAGAATCTAGCAGCTAGCAGCTAGCTAGCAAATGAGCTGACTGATATCTCCAATTCTGAACCATTTAGAATCTAGAAGTTTATTTATAATGGATAGCAGGTAGCCACTAGTCAGTCACTAGTGACTAGCTGCTGCGAGCTAGCTGCTGCTTAGCTTATTAGCTTAGCTGCCTGGCTGACTGACTTGACTAGCAGCTAGCAGACTAGCAGACTTTACAGCTTTAGCCAGTTTTAGCGCAGCCAAACACCCTTCATTCGCCGTGACTGGCCTGGCTCTCCTGCTGCTGCTGTGGATTGCCTTTGCCACCCCTACCTCCTTTGCCCATGTCGATTCAGCGATCGCAGCACAACTTCCCGAACTCGAGTGAAAGCTGCAGCTGTTTGCGATTGCTGCCACATAACAAAGGAACACAAAATTGCTGAGAGAACGAAGCAGAGTGAAAGTCCAAGTCTGAGTCTATGACCGACAAAGTAAGACACCAACCAAGAATCTATGTCTAACCTAACTAGCCAAGAGTCTAGTCACAGTCACGTCTCGTCACGTCTATGTCTATGTCAATGTGAAGGCCCAAGTTCTTTCCCAGTCTGAGTTTTAGTTAAAGTTTAAAGTGAGAATATGCACCATGGAACTATGGTGTAACGGCGCCCAGTCAGTCTGCGGCAGTCAGCGTTTGTGCTAATGTGTTTGTCCGAGTCGTCTTGGCGTTGAGTGTCTGTTGCAATAGCGAGGTGAAACTTCTCAGGTCACCAGTTACTGTAACATTCCAACATAATTTCCATTGTGAGAAACCACCAAATAGACAAGATTGAACAACACGATTTCACCAGATTGTAACACTGAAAAGCACCTGAGCAGTCGTGTCACAATGCCATAGCCTGGCCCCAAGAAGCTACAATGCACCAAATGCTAAAGTCTAGAGTCTAGAGTCCAGAGTCTAGTCTGTAGTTACTCTAGTTACTAGTTACTAAGACTAAGACTCTAGTTCCTTCTAGTTTGATAATGTTCTAATAAAAGTGACATTTACATTTCAATTTGAGTCATGGGCCACAAGGCATGTGACTTGACTTGACATGGCGGCGTCGGCTACCGTTCTGTTCTTGGCAGCGCGGCTAGGCAGGCCAGGCCAGGCAAAGTAACTACCTACCGACAGTGACTAGTGACTAGTAACTAGTTACTAATTACGTTACAATAGTGAGTAGTGACTAGTGTTTTACTGGTTACTAGTTGCTAGTTTTATATACTTGATGAGTTCCGAGGTCATAGTCATGGTCTTGGTCCTTGGCTGTAGGTACAGGTAAAAGTTACTAGGACCTAGGACCAGGAATAGGAAATAAATGTAAATAGTAACTAGTAACTAGTTTTTTAATATTAAAGTACAGTTTCTATGGTTTGCTGCAGCTGCTAGCTGCTAGCTGCTAGCTAGCTGCTGGCTGCTAGGCTAGACTGCTAGACTAGACCTAGACCTAGACTAGACTACACTACTAGACTCACTTCACTAGACCTGACCTAGACCTAGACCTAGAGTCAGACCTAGCCTAGCTGCCGCTAGCTGCTAGTGGCTGGCGCTGATAGATTCTAGATTCTAGCCAGCCGGTCCTAGCATCAGATCCTCCTCAAGTGTTCTATTGAATTGAATGCTTTGCTCTTCCAAAGCAGTCCTATTTTTCCAACTATTCTACTTTACTACTTCTACTCTTCCAACACGGAGTCTTGCACTCCGTGCAATGCCGTACAATGTTCCGTTTCCTGGCCCACAGCAACCACAAGCCGCCGCTATGTCCGCTATGCCAGGCAGCTAGCTGCTAGCTGGCTGAACATCAATTGCGCACAAAAAATCATGACATGGGCATAGCAGTCGTTTGTACAAACCATGTTTGACTGCATTTGCTACGAAGGCACACAATACAGTTTTCGGTACTCCAAAGGCCAACTGCAACAGCTTATATAAGAAAACACAAACTGGGATGAACCAAGTAGAATGGGTTGACAACAGTGGCAACTGGTGCTTTGCAGTTTATCTTCTACTACAGGATCTACAGTGGCCTTGCCAAAATCAAACAGCAACAACTCAACGCTGCTTGCCTGATGCTGCTTGATATTTGACACTTGAAACCTATCGGACTTATCCAATTCTCATGGTTCCGGTATAGGCTTAAGAGAGACCAAGGCAGCAATGCAAAGGCCAAGGCATGGTAAAGCCATCCCTTCACCTGCTAGTTGACGAAGATTCCTGGCAGTCAACGCATCTGGTACCTGGATAGATTTCGGGTGGCCCTGCAGGTACATGTGCTCCCTGGCTGACAGCAGGGAGTCATCATCGTAGGAATATAGCATGCTTGCAGTAGTGAGGCAGGGGCAAACACCATACTTGGAAGTAAATGTCGGTCGGGAGTGCGACTGTGAAATGTCCAGCACAACACCGGACACAGCACTTTCCACAGGACCTAGGTGGCTCTTCATACGTTTCGCAGCAACCACGTCAATGAGATCTTTCACACGTGGAGTTAGGCTGACTCCGCGTGCAACAAAAGAAGGACGCTTGGTCCAGGGACTGTAGCCAGGTGAGACTCCCAACTTATCCCTGAGCTTGGCTGTCTCGACTTTCCAACTTGCTTCCTTGCCACATTCATCACGAGCCAAATGTGATGTCTGCTCCTGAAGAGGCACGGTTCAGGTGGGCACGGCTTTGATTGGTGGGAGAGAACCTTAGGACCTAAGGTACCTAAGCACTAAGCCCTGGCCCAGACTCTGGCTCCTGAGGGGCTCCACACTCCTGCCTTTTGGTTCCTATTGTATTCCTATTTCCTCTTCAGAATGCTATTTTTTTCCTATTTGTAAATCCTTCTTTTTTCCTATTCTTTTTCTATTTTTTTCGAGGAAAATAGGAAAAAATAGGAAAAAATATAAAAACATAGGAAAAAATAGAAAACATATAGACACAATATAGAGTCTAGATAGAGCAACCGGTACAGACCTCCAGACCTTGGGTTAGTCACGGTTGGTCACGTTAGTCAGTCATTAGTGGTCAGTCAGTCGCTTCGTCACTGCTTAGTCACTTAGTCACTATGGTCACCATGTATTTGTGAAAGTCAGCGACATGCTTGTTGCTTGCCAAGACTGAGGAAAGCTTCTTGTTTGAATCAACCGCGACTGCAGAAATGAGTCGAACAATTCAAGGTCACCAGTCACTAGGCATCAGTCTAGTGAGGCGGTGACTATTACAGTGATTCTGTCATCATCTCCAATCAAGTCTGGTCACTCAGTCAGTCGTAGTCTAAAATGAAATCAGTTTCACTGACTACTGCCACGTTGTTGCCTTTAGCAA